CCAGTCCCTATTCTGAAAATCCAAAGGGTGAAATCCAAAGGGACTCATGCACTTCCTGGCCCTGCCGGCACTATGGGATTGCAAACCTTCCGGGCACCTTCATGTTTTAAAATGGCTCTCTTCTGCTCTCAGTCCTGTGTTGACAGACGCTCCGGAGCAATACACAAACACCACAACAGAGAGGTTTCTCTGCAGCTCCCCCCCCATCACCAAGTGTGAAAATACAAAGGGAGCTGCAAACTGAGTTTTTGCCCAATCGGGCCCCCTCATAAACCAGTCCTCTGTGGCTCCCTCAGTTCTTCCTGAAATGGCTTCAAGCAACAATAACTTTCTTTTCTTTTCCTTTTTTGCCGTCAACTCACAGCTTATGGTGTTCTCATCAGGTTTTCAAGGCAAGAAACCGAGGGTGTGATCCCACAAGCAGTTTGGCCCGATATAGCCACCCCTCCCCTCCAGATTAAATGGGCGCAGTCTCACAGCCACATCTGTCAGGTGTTCCCTGTAGGGCAACTTAGAGCTGGGTTAAAAAGGCACCATATCACAAGTGGTGTTTTTGGTCCCCACGCGTTCATTGCACGGGGCCGGATGCCTGAACTCAGGGGAGTGTGTGCAAAACGGATTGGCAGTCTGAACCTGCAGACCTGTTCCCGCTGCTAGGTGTTTTTTTTTTAGTTTTCGCCTATATGCGCATGAGTGCCCTTGCGCATGAGTGCATATGTGCAGGCATGAGCACATATGCACTCACCCGCATTTTAAAAATGATTGGGCAGCACACTCCATGGCTGAGGCACTGCAGTAATGTGGATGTTTGACCAGGGGACGGCCGTGTGGGTAACACACAGCAGGGTATGCTGTCTGAATGATATGCCCCACAACATTTTTAAACCGGTACAATTAGGGGTGGCACCATATCGCGCCAAGCCACCAGTGTGATCACACCCTAAGAGAGGTGGTTTGCTATTGCCTGCCTCTGCATAGCAACCCCGGACTTTCTTAGTGGTCTCCCATCCATTTACTATACTAGCCAGAGCTGATCCTGCACAGGCCCGTAGCTACAGTGGGGCCTCTTGGGGCACAGCCCCCCCCCACTTACCACCAATGCCCTCCCCCCGACTTCCCATCCAGCCCAGGGACTTAAACCTGGGTCTCGCAAATCTGAACCCAGCTCTCTAACCACGGCCCTGCACCAACGGGGCATAGGAAAGGGAGGGGATAACTGGGGTGGTAGATGGGCTACATCTTGTCTTGCTGCATTTTTACTCAAGGTGCGGTATGAAGGGAAATGTCTGCCGTTCTGAAAGAATCATGTTCTCGCTGCTTAATATTTCGGATGGAACAAATAAATATCTTTGCGGGCATTGCTGTGTGCCTGATTGCTCTAGAAACAGTTTTGTAGTAGAACTTAGACAGTTGGAGCGGTCAAATAGAACTTCTAGCGCCCTGACAGCCAGACAGAGCCTGAGAACACAGACATTGGCCATGTCCGGTTTCACATATTTTCATAAATGGTGCTACGACCATCTCTGGACAAATGCAACTGGCAAATTTTGTAGGCCTGGGCAGCCAACCAGTGAAAAGCTTTCCACTGAATAATCCTCTGCCATGACACTTATCTGTTTGTGTACGACCTGCAAATGGGCAAAATCAGCAGCTGCCCATACACGTGCCTTCTCGGTTGTGGCCCCCACCTTAAGGAATGACCTGCCTGGGGTGGTCAGGCAGGCTCCCAGTCTCCTGGCTTTCCACAAGTTATGCAAAACCGAATAATTCAAGAGGGCTTTTCTGCCCAGGCAAGAGACTTGCGCTGAACTAAATGATTCACAAAGTTGGAAAAATTATTAGGGGCTGTGATCCTACTGTGGAGTTTTGCATCATTTCATGTGTCGTGTTCCTACTAGTGCTTTCCTTCAGTTCTGTTTTTAGACTTCTGGTTGGTCCTACAGCCCTAATCCTATTGCATTGAATGTCCCATCTGTCGACTGTATTGACTCACCCTGTGTAATCCGCCTTGAGTCCAAGTAAGAAAGACGAGCTATAAACAATGTGAATAGATAAAAATTCCCAAGATTCCGCTAATGATGCCTGTTTCAGATACAGAAGAGCAGGCCTCTGGAGAGGTGGCATATAAACTTTAAATAAATAATACATTTTAAATAAGAGAATGATGATTTAATACAATTTAGGTCATTGTAATTTAAGGGTTTTTTGTTTTTTTTTAAGTACACACTCCTTTTTGGAAGCCATCTCCTCCCTCATACATTCTCTTTCATTCTCTCTCAACAGAAACACGCCCAAATCCAAACCAAAAATAAACAGGCTGGCTTCAGTGATTAAAAACCAGCCTCCCCAATTAAAACCGGCCTTTCAAATCCGCTAAAGCTTCCCCCCCCCAAGCTGGTGTAGCTGAGGCCAGAAAGGGAGGGGGAGTCCACAGCTGAAACCTAACCAGTTGGCCTCAGCTAACTAGAGCTCCCCTTGATTAACCTGCTAGTTAAACTCATTAAAGCTAGCAAGCCTCTGTTGGAAAGGGGAGAAGACACATTAATTTTTTTAAAAAGATCAACAGGAAAACCCCACCCATTCTAATCAGGGTAGCTCTTATATTCGATTAACAGACCTTGCATGGGTATATAGAAAACTTGCTTGAACAGCTACCTGGGACAAACACATAACACCACCATTCAAGAAAACAGGGATCTCAAGCCCCCTTCAAGACTAATAAAATGTATTCCCGCGTGAGTCAGAGCCCACTTCGTCAGATGTATGAAGGTGCATGTCCCTAGCAGTTTTGCCCCACATACAGCGGATGATGAACATTTGTGCAGGAATCCATTTTGTGAGTCTCTTAGTTGCCTCCGGACTCTTGCTTTATTTTGCTGCTACAGACTGCCATACCTGACACCCATCTGGACTTGTCACTGGTGTTCCCTCTAAGCTGAGATAGTGTGAGGTAACTCACAGTTTTTCAGCCTCTAACTCACACATTTTTCACTTAGCTCAGGAAGGATGGCTCCAGAGCAAACTAATTTATGCAGCAGCCAAATCGCTCACTCACAGCTTTACTGCCAGTAGCTCACAGAGTAGAATTTTTGCTCACAAGACTCCACAGCTTAGAGGGAGCATTGCTTGTCACCACAACAAAGGTTACAGAGGACAGCACTGTACTAAGTCACCGAATTCTTATCTGGTTAATTCCTGCTCTCTTCCTTTCGGATCTCTTTTAGGTCAGTTATAAAAGCATTGATACGGCAAACCCTCCATTATTTCACTGGGGCATCACGGTTGTACTGTCAGGCCCGTTCAGTTTCAGTTGTGGCGAGTCCGTGTGAGTTACTTTGGGGAAACCCCCTCCAGAATATGGATAAAATAGCAAGCTAAGCTCACCCCACCAGGACAGAACACAGATTCTAACAACACTGGCGACTGAGTGTTTAGTTTGTTGTGCCCTTAGCTACGGACTACAGTGCAGTCGAGTCTTCACACACTTGTGTCTGAGCAACATCTGAAAGCCAAGGCTGCCTCATACCTTTCATTAAGACCGATCCACATAGCACAGCCCAGGCTGCAACCCTGCAGGTTCCACAGAACTCTTCATCAGGCTGGCTCTTGAAAGGGGAGGAGGGGGGGAACCTTTTCCAGGCCACAATCTTGAGGCCCTTTAAGCACCCCCAGGGCTCACACAGCGCAACCTTCAGCCCATCTACTCAAAAGCAAATACCATTGACTTCCATGGATCTTGCTTCTGAGCTGAGGACGACAGCCTCAAGAGCATGAAGGGGCCTCCCAAACGTAGGCCAAACTCCTTTGGTTTGGTTATTTTTTTCTGGCCAGCCTAGACGCTTTTGGTGTGGCATGCAAGCCACTGCGGGACTGGCTAGCGGTGCCCTCTGGTGCCCAGAAGTCATAGGCCTGAATGAAACCCGGGTGCCTTGTTTCTTTTAGGGGAACCGGTTGCCTAGACGGGATGTCTAAAAGTTACAAGATCCCCTCACTTCAGAGCCCTCGCTCCGAAGGGCTCCAGACCGCTGTGAGGGAAGAAGCGCCAACAAGGGAATAGCCTTTGTGGAGGGCATTTGGCACCTTCCAGGAAAGAATCAGGGGAGATCCTCCCATGAAGCTAAACTGAAGGATGCAGAAGTTTACCTTCACATCCCACCTTGGATGCTCCAGGCAGGGGTGCCGGCCCTGCCTCCCGCCTGCTCCGTGCAGGGGAATCCCATTCCTAGCATCTGAGCCACTTTTAACTGCATGTTTCCTCCACCTGTGCTGTTAACCCTTCCCGTCATAGCCGGCTGGGAGTGGCTGACGGGTCCTCCCTCCACCTGGCCTTATGGAGAAGGTGTTCCCGAGCAGGCCGCGGGGCAGAGGCCTGACAAAAGCGCGAGTCCCGCCGGCCACCCACGAGCCTTCTAGGCGCACGTCCTCTTCAGCGAGGCGTCTTTTCCGACCGCCCTCTCCACCGTGCATGCGCCCCCGCCAAGCCCGCAAAAGTCTGCCCCTCCACGAGCTCTCCAAACCCCCCATCAGTGTTCCCTCTAAGCTGAGTTAGAGCTAGCTCACAGTTTTTTAGCCTCCGGCTCACACATTTTTATCTTAGCTCAGGGAGAATGGCTCCAGAGCAAACTAATTTATGCAGTAGCCAAATCGCTTGCTCACAACTTTAATGCCGGTAGCTCACAGAGTAGAATCTTTGCTCACAAGACTCCACAGCTTAGAGGAAGCTTTGCCCCCAACCTCTTTGGGCGTCTGCACTTACACACGGGACCCCCGTGCGCCCTAGGCAGCCCCCGTCCCAAGAATATCTCCTTTCCTCCATAAATGCCGGGCTCCCCTTCCCACCCCAGGACGCGGACCCCCTCTCGGCTCCTGGCCAAGGTCCCCTTTCTTCTGTCCCCCTCTGTAACCCGGATCCCGATCCCCCCCCCTCCCATATTGCCCTCCCCTCCCCTGGCGCGTAGCCACACACACCCCCTCCCGTGCGCGCCCTCGGCCCGGCTCACCTGCCCTGCTTGGTGATGATCATCTCCGTCTGGTGCTTGTGGAACTTGGCCCAGAGCGGGTAGTTGTTGAGGACGACTTGGATCTTCCCGGACACCTGGTAGCCGGGCATCGGGTAGAGCGGGCCCCGCGGGAACATGTGCTGGACCGCCGGCGGGTAGCAGCCCTCGCCGCCGTGCGCGCCCGGGTACAGGTCCCCGGGGCCGGGGTACAT